TTTTCAATGAACTGTACATTCTCTTTTGTCTCAACTTCTTTCACTGGCGGGTCAGGGTTCTTTGACTCGGTTTGTTTTTCAATGAAATTCACGAACTTTGCAATAAGCTCTTGGTTCGTTATTGAAAGTACATCTGGCTTCTTTTCTTCTGGTTCTATTGGTGGCTCAGTTTGAACAGAAGGTTTTATATGGGCTTCGTGGACTTCACCCTTGCCATACACCTTAATGTTGTCGCTTTCTGCATTCGCTAATGGAACCTTTCTTTTTTTTACGTATATTTTACCATCTTTACTCTGACTTACGTAATAGAAAGGATGTTGTATTCCTCTTGCGTCATTTAATATAATAGACTCTCGCTCTGATTTTGACAAGCTCATTTTACATCGGTTAAAGTTTTAATTTTGTTTTTTATCTGCAGTCAAATGACTCAGACAAGCCCTACGGACAAGACCCAAGGGGTCATAGATGTTGAAGCATTGAAGAAAGAAATTCGTGAGCAAATTTTATCCGAACTGAAGGAACAAAAACAAGAACAAAAGCCAGAGAGACCAAAGAGAAAACTTAGTGAAAAACAACTTGCTGCATTAGCTGCTGGAAGACAAAAGAACCCACGTTTGCTGGCGAAGAAAGCTAGAGAAGAAGCTGAAGCAAAAGCTAAAGAAGCTGAAGCAAAGAAAGAGTAAATGGTTTATTTTTATCCGAATTAAATGTATAGACAAATACCTTTATCTGTTGCGTTCAGTAGTGAAAACCCTGACGTCAAAATAAAGGGGAACAGAGTAACGTTTAAGTTTCCAACAGACTGGATTGTGAACATAAATGAAGAGAAGTACATTGGCATAACATCTATGTATATAACACGTGCTTTCAGAAAGGTTGACTTTATACTTCAAGTCGAGATAGAAAATGACGAACAGTCTTTAAGCGCCCAAAACATTCACATATACAAATACTTTAAAGACGATACAACATTGCAACAATGTATGATTTCATTTAATGAGATGTTCGAGAAAAAGTTCAACATTGAAGTACAAACTTTACAGCCTTTACGTGAGTTTCTTGCACAACTGAAAGAAGAAGGTAGTCAGCCACAACTTATAGACTTTCATTATGAATTTAATGAAAATGAAGATGGAACAATGACTGTCAGTTTATTGTATTCTCACCATTCAATGAAGTCGCTAAAAGAAAGAAAATCCATTACGTATAAGATTTCAAATCTCTGAACCAAGTGATGATTTCAAGAATGTTTTCAATTATGATGCAATGCTTCCGAGGAAAAATGAATTTTCCGAAATTAGATTTCCAGGTATTTGGGATAGAAAGCAAGCTATATTATATTCAAACTTAAGTAAGGGAGTTGAAAATGAGTTCATTGGTCATACAAGAACTTCACCACTAACCTAAATACTATAAATTAACTGGCTTCAATCGTGAGTTTTGGATAGACATGTTCTCCACTCATGACCATAAAGCACCTGTTTTGCTACCTCCAGACCATAAGGACTGTCTCTACATTGAAGCACAACTCTTAAACTCTACCATCGCAGTATTGTAAATGACCACATGGGCTTATTTTTATCACGAATGACCTCATTGCTGACAAAAATAAATGACCTCAGAACTTCAACTTACGAATAAAGCTTGTTTTAGTCGTTATTGAGAAGTTAAACTTCTCTTCAAAGCAAGGTTGACATGACTTACATAAGTCAAATCCAATCTCTTGACCGTCATAAAGTGCTTTGTAACTTTCATTAAACTGAACTCAGAGTCTTTGTCATATGTTCCTTGCGGAACCATTAAACCTTTATCTTCATCATAGAAACACTGAACAGAGTCAGGAAACATTTCATTAGCGGTTAAAGCAATAACATCTTGCTTCACGCCTTTCATTCTGCAGTGAAATGCAACTTCATTTAAATCATTCGTGAGTAAGTCTATGTAAGTCTTCTTTCCACAAATATTGATTGTATGCTAAACTTTGTTTTCCAGGTGTGATTTCTGCAAAGTCGCTATGAAATTGACCAAGGTTTTTACCAATGAGAACTCTTCCATAACGTTTCTCAACTCTTCAGCTAAACGAGGGATATCTTCATTGTAGAGATGCATACTGTCCGTATCGCTATAAAAGATGTCCATTCCTAAGTCCTCAGCAGTACAGAATACTTCACACATTATTCTCTTCGACATAGACAGAATGTTAACACCAAGTGGACAGAAGTTAAAGTGTCTGCAAATTGCTTTTCGTTAGCTTGAAAATAGTTTTATCTGAACCATCCAAACCTTCGAACTTCACTATATGGTTGTAGTTCTGATGGCATATCTTATAGCATCTTTGTCATTTACTATGGTTATTTTTGACTCAATAGGAGAAAGAATAGTTTTGCCATAAATACTGTTCAGAATGAGCTTTATATTTTCTTGCAAAGGATTTCCTTCTTTCTTATACTTTAACCTTAACTCAAACAACTTCTTTACTTCATCTCTTATTCTAATATCTCTGTTTCCATCGTAATAGTATCCTTGCAACACTTCACATTTGACACCTTGATATTTTATGAGGTCTTGTAATGTTATATGGTCAACATACATTAAACAGCAAGTGTTTGAACTTCTGGGAACGTTAAGTTCTGGATTTAGTTCAGGGTCACAAACTATTAAAGGAAAATGTCTATGTATTCCAATCTCTGTTATCTTAATGAGAACAAAGAAGCCAGACATAAACTTTTCACCAATGGGTTCCTTTTGGTCGTCATTGAATAAATGTCTCATGAGATACTCTGTGCTTAACATTTCTTTCTTCATAACCTTTGGAATACCTTCTAAAGTATAGAGTCTTGCAATTGCTGAAGGGTATAATGAAACAGCATCGAAGTCAGCAATGAGTTTCTTTTCGCTCTTTTGTTTAATGTTATCTGACAACATACATCTTCCACCTTGAATGCATCTCGAAATAAACTCTCTTGGTTTATTTGAGAGGTCATATAAATTTCCATTCGGGAAGTACACTCTGTTCTCAAACAATTTGTTAGCAATAGAACAAATACTAACGTAGTCATATACGTTTAAATCAAACTCTTTCAATATGTCATTGCGGAACTTAACAAAACCTTCTCTTAAAATTCTTACATCTTGTTTGCAATAAAATGTGCTATACTTTTCTAAGTCGAAGTGGTTCTCATCTATTCTGCAACCTTTGATGGAATCTATGTTTTTCATGAATGTATCTGCATCCCGGATAAACTTACATGCTTCAGAAATGACACCAGTTCTGTTGTCATTTGCTAACAAAACACTGCTGTAGTAGTTATATGGAAATACTTCTTTCGGTCCTGTTTGTAAGTTAAACATAGCAGGAAATAGTTTAAGCTTCTTATTTATAACACTGTAAGAGTCTTTTATAATAATTGCCCTTCCTTTATATAAGCCAGTTATTTGCATTGTTCGTGAACCTTTAATGATGGGAGTTCCTTTCACTTCTGTCATGTGTCTTAAGATGAAGTTTATATCATAACTGAGGTTATGGAAATATATTAAACTCTTGTCAGGAAGTCGCTCCAAAAATTCTGTTGCACAGTTCTGACCCCAAATGCTTTCACTCACTGAACATCTTCACTGTCGTAACATATGTTAAAAGCTTTATGAAAGCCGTCTGTACTACACTCAAAGTCAGCAAAGAAAACGTGCTCAGGAATGAACTTGCACTTATTTTTATTTACTTCTTTTGACTCGGCTTTCTTCTTCAGTTGTACACAATACTTTGGAGCATATGTCAAATCTTTAAATGGTGCAAGGTTCTGTTTATATAAGTCAGTAGTATATGTGAAAAGTTCTCCATAAGAAATAGGTTCGAAATATTTGCACTCCCACAATGTTTTCATAACATCCCATAACGGTGTTGTTCTATCATAACGAACTACATATTTATCTTCTCTCTTTGTATAAATCTTCATTTGTTTCTCAATGTTCATTCCACCACATCTCAAGATTTCTATATAGTTGCGAATGAAATATGTTGTCATTGGTAATCTTTCATTTAGCATGTAGTGGTCTTCAACAAGAAGTAAGTCAAGTTCTAACAGTTTCACATTCTTTGGTATATATCTCTTTATTTCATTATGTCTTGAGTCATTGAAATAACCAATGGTAACATTAAATGCTATACCTGTTGCGTCAGAAATTTCTTGTACTTTACTTTGAGGAAAGTCTCTAACACGAATGACTTCTCTCATGTGGTCAATAGTTTCTTCATTTACTCCAGCCTGAATGCAAGCATAAACGAAACAATTGTCTTCTGTCATAAGTGCTGCAGTTCTTTTGTTCAATTCATTGAAAATTTGGTAGCGCTCAAGATTTATAGGTAATGTGCAAAGATACTTCCAGAACTGACCGCTTCTCTTCTTATAAAACTTCTTTTCACCATTATCTTTCCAAAAGCTTTCTATAAGTGCTGGGTTTCCTGTTTGCTTAAGAGCTTCCAAAATGGCTTTCTGGTCATTTGTCAGTGTGCTTTCATCTCTATATGGTCTCTTTTTTGGTTTGCCTTTCTTTACATCTGACATCGTTAAGCCTTCATATTCTGTTAAATCATACATCTTTATTTCGGTAAGATTCTTTATGTTTGTCAAGAAGAAGTCATAGTGCATTTCAACAATACCTGCGCATTTGCTTCTATCTCTGATATAAAGTTCTCCTTCAAGAGCTGATGTAGTAATGTTCCAATATTATTGAGGTTTAACGTAGAACATTCATACTTTCCACCAAGTTTATAACATATCATCCATCTCTGTTGTGAGTTTATTTTAATTTTCTCTAAGAGTCTCATGAAAACCTTACCGAAATGTTTGTGTAAGTAGTCTCTGTTTGGTTCATCTAAAGCTTCGATGTTAAAGTCAATGAGTCTATTGCCTGTCTTAACATTCCTCTTCCTATTCTCTTCATCTTTCTTTAACCATCTCTCACCTTCTTTTGGTTTGTCGTCAATGGAACGAATGACATCGTTAGCTTTGCGAACTTGTTCTATAGCGCTCTTAAACATCTCTCTTCTCTGTTGTTTCAGTGTGTCGTCTCTTCTTCTTGTTTCACCAACGTTCGCATTTGTTATGTCAAACATTTCTCTTCTTACTTCATGAGGTACTGAACGTCTATGATATAAGTCAATAGCAACGTCATTTAAAGGAAATGCTATTGCGTGGACTTCGTCCTCGCCGCGTTGCGGCTTTATGAACTCATGAATTCTATCATAACTTATTGCACCATTATAGTCATTGAGGATGTCAGCGAGTGCTTTTTTGTTTGTTGCGTAATGCTTTGCAACATCTATATTAGCTTCTGTAAGAAGTTGTTTTATTTCCGAGTGTTCTAACTTAGACAACTTCCGATACATCTTTAGTAGGAAATAAAAAAATATTTTTTGAAAAAATTAGATTAGATTTTTTTAAGCTATTTTTCAAAATAATTTAATATTTTTATTTTAATGAAACACATGCAAGATTGCAAGTTCTTTTCATACAATGCTCTCGCTACTGCCATCAAGAATGAGTTCAATAATGCTTCAAATGTTAATGTTATCTTTAACAAAAAGTTTGTGAAAGAATCTAAGTTTGGTCAGTATGTCAGACCATTAGCTATCGTCATTGACCGCAAACGTTATACTTCACAAGAGTTAGCAGTAGTTTTGAAACAAAAGAGTTTCTTCGTGAATGTCAAAGATACTCATTATACTGTCATAAAGAACTCTAACATTGACTTCTTCAGTATTGCTTTAAATCTTTCCGAACAGAAAGAATATAAGAAAGGTGAAACAAATGTGAAATATTATCCTTCATCTCTGAAGACAATAACGAACAAAGATGTTATACAGAAATTCTTACCAAAGGTTGAAGAAGCTTCTATTGACATTGACGAAGGAAGTGAAATGGTTGAAGAAATAGACCCTGAAGCTTTATAAGAAAATTTATTTTTAAATAACTGAAGGTGTCACCACGTCACCATGTGTCACCTGGTTAATTAACTTCTCTTAAAAATGATGACAACATGACATTTTGACATCACAGCAGGATTAATGCAAAAATGAATGTTATCGTTAATGTTATCGTTTATGTTATCGTTTATGTTATCGTTAATGTTATCGTTAATGTTATCAGTGTCGAACATAATTGACATGGAGCATTTATGTTATCGTTTATGTTATCGTTAATGTTATCGTTTATGTTATCGTTAATGTTATCGTTAATGTTATCAGTGTCGAACATAATTGACGTAGGATTCATGACTTCTTCGTAAATGAGTGTAAATATAGCACAAAAATATATTTTAGGTGAAGAGGTGAGATCTCACCCGTTTTTTCACCTCTTTTTTCACCTCATTCTCTCTTCGTTAATGTTGTCGTGACTTCATTCTTCCTCTTTGAAGTTATCGAAATATTCTGTTATTTTTTCCTTCAGTAATGTTAAGTCTTCTTTGAATGTAAGTATTGTGCAACCTTTGATGTCATAGTGTGTTTGAGGAAGAGTATTTTTGACAATTTCCTTTATTTGCTCATTCGGTGTCATTGAAATCGGTAAGTTTTCACGATAGAACCAGTTTCTGTCAGATTTATATATTTTAGCTAAGTCATAAAAGCTCTTGTTGTTTCTTCTGACTAAATGCAACATAACCATATCTTTATCTTCTTCTTTCTCCAATTCTTCAGTATATATCATATACCTATAACTCTTTTCCTTTCCTTTTGGTACTGAACGCGGTATTCTTTTCTGTATGCTTTTGTCTTTGGATTCAATGACTTCATCTTTTGCTTGAAGTTTCTTTTCCATCTCTCCACGTTCTGCTTTATATAGTTCATCTAACATCATGAAAATATAACAAGCATAACGAGGTGAAGCCCACATTGCTACAGCGTTTACTAAAAGTCTATGAACATAATAACCTTTCAAACAAGGAGCCAAATTCTTGCGATTTTCATACGAAATCTCTTCATTCTGCAAAACAATCATATGAGGAAATTCTTCTAAAAGTTCTTTTGTCTGTTGGTTTTCAAACCAATGATATGCTTGCTTTGTAGAACGAAGAGCATTCATTATACTTTGCATTTGGTACATATCGTCTTTGACCGAACGAATGAGGCGAAGTTGTTTGTTATATTGTATGTATTCGTATTCTTCATTTATGGCTTCATGAACGATAGCAGTTGTTGTGTTCTCTGATGTTGACATTACTGTCTTTACATACAAGATAAAAATTTTTGTTAGGAAAAAATTAGCGTTATTTTCTGACTTTCACAAAAGACAAAAATAAACGCTTTACATGTATTTTTCAGCAACTTCGTCAAATAATTTTATATAGGGTGTCCAAAGGTGTGTTTAGCACAAACCTGAATACTGCGAATAGAAATAAACAAGTTACATATATATAAAGTTTATTTAAATATAATCACCATTGGATTCAATCACGCGTTCGCAGCAATCGATCCAGGCTTCAAAGACACGCTTTAAATCATCATGAGAAAATTGCTCAAATTGCTCTCTTACAAAATTTTCAAGATCATCTGGACTCGCGAATTCGCGTCCTTCAGCTCTCTTTTTTAGCGTGCCGAATAAATAAAAGTCAGAGGGGGCAATATCAGGTGAATAAATTGGGTTTGGAACAACTTTGACATTGTTTTCCACCAAGTAATTCATTATCTTATGACTTTTGTGAACTCTTGAATTATCAAAATGAATTGCAAACTTTTGTTTTTGTTGTTTGGATTTCTCAAACTCATCAGAATTGATAATTTGAGTAAGAACATTGTCAATTAGATACTGAGCATTCATCGTATTAGGTTTTTGAAGAATATCAATTGCGATGATGCCATTCACGCCCCAAAAAACCGACAACATCATCATTGGTGTGTCAATTTTTTTCTTCGGGAATGTTTGCGGATCTTCATCCTTCGGGATCCACATGATTTTGGCTTCTGTTGCATATTGAAACCAAGACTCATCCCCTGTTACTAAAAAGCGAAACTTCTTGGATTGATACGCACGCAATATAGAGAGGAGCTCTTTCGAAGATTGGACTCTAGATTTTTTTGAACTGAATTAAGGTTGTGCGGAACCCAACGTGTATACGCTAGTTTGTAGTTCAAATAATTGTGCAGATAATAACTGACTGTTGTACGTGGTATCTTTGTCATCTCCTCTATCCTTCTGAGTGATGCTCTTGGGTCTTCATCTAGCGCTTGAAGAATTGCTTTGATTTTTCTTTGATCCGGCGATTTTTTGTCAATTTTTATGATGGGCGCCTTTTTGGTCATGAAGTGATACATCCTAACATGATACGTTACAGTGGAATAGCTAGGAGCATCCATACTGAAGCATTTTACCAATGTCTCGTAGATTTTTTACAGTCTTTGCATTTTTTTGCAAGAGCGAGGATGTTTTCTTTATGATTCATTAAAAAAATGAAAAAAATCCCGCCAAAATTTCCCGCGAAACCGCCTCTTGTCTCAAAATTCATTTTATATCCCGGCATGGCGCCAAAATACAACTTACTCATCATATACATATATTCATATTTTTGATTATATATTTATAATCAGCATATATCTCCTTTAATAGTCTCATATAGAGCGCTGTGCTAAACGCACCTTTGGACACCCTATAGCTTTATCTATCTCATCTACTTCAAACGTTTCTTTACCTTTTATGGGAGCACCATACATTTTCTCAAAAACTTCAAGCAGTTCTGTTTCAGCAGCTCTATAGATCCGTATTTTTCCCAAGTGAGCGGGGTATCTCTAATCCCAGCCCTATCATCCTCCCAGTGTCAGTTTTTAATATAAAATCCAAAATTTTTTTAAAAATAAAAATTTCGAGAAATTTTTCTAGTTTTTTTTTTGATTTCAATAATTCAAAATAAATTTTGGAGTAAAAAGACACTATTTAATGAAATTCATATGAGTGAATGTGGATAAATACTCTCAAAACATACAATTTATATATTTTTTCTTTATATTATCAACTAATTAGTGATAATTTTTTTTGAATCAGATTTTTTTTCATTAAAAATATAATATATAACGCAATAATGATGTACACATACGCATCTACACATCAAAATATAAAGTTTGTTTTGGTCTGGGCACCCCAACCCAAAATTCTAAAAAAATTGAATAAAATTGAATACTTGGGGCTGGGATACCCAGCCCGAAACCGAATTGAATTTTTTGAATTAAAGAATATATTTACGTATTTATAATATATATGTGATGTTTATAAAAAATACTAAATTTTTGTAAAAAAATTCAATTTATTCAAAACGTATATTAAGTGATCACTTCATTAGTAGGATCAGCGATCCTACTAAATGGTGAGAATGCCACTAGCTAAAAAGGGAGTCCTTGGAGCTCTTGATCTCTTGTCAGTAGAGTCCATAATGAGGCATGGCATCTACTGATTAGAGATCAGAGCAATCCTACTTACCTTCAGGAGCTACAAAGCTCCTAATCGTTACGAGAGGGAGCCTTGGAGCTCCTGAAGCTCATCAGCAGAGGATATTTACCATTTGGGCCTCTTTTGATGAAAGATGCGAAGCCCATCTACGAACCAGGAGCTCCAAAGCTCCTAATCCTTACGAAAGGGAGCGTTGGAGCTCCTGAGTCTTCATCAACAGAGTCCCAGTTGATAAATATCCTATGCTGATGAAAGATGCGAAGCACATCTTCGAACCAGGAGCTCCAAAGCTCCTATTCCTTACGAAAGGAGCTCTGGAGCTTCTGAAACTCCTCCTATTATAAAATAGGACAGTTTTCTTCTGAGGCTTCTCATCAAATCTAAGACTTCAGAAGAAAGCTGTCCTATCCGTGTATACTTACATTCTGATGGACTACAAGTGTACAACTTTAAGGCAGAGATTATCCGAGGCCTCTCATCAAATGAGGGACCTCGGATAATCTCTGCCTTAAGTAGTCAAATAGCTTTTCTGACTATTCAGGGACAAGAGAACAAGAGTTGGAATACTCTAAGGCAAGGTTCTTCCGAAATCTCTCATCGAATGAGAGACTTCAGAAGGACCTTGCCAAATCCTTGAACACCGATATCCTTGGAACCGAGCTAGGACCAAGGAGAAGTAGTGTACTATAGCGCACGATGGCAATCTCGGAAATACTTATATTGCCACATGCACAATATCTATTCAGCCTGACTCCTATATACAAGAAATCAGGCAGAATAGATATTGTGCATATGATTTGCAGAACTCTCATATATATAAATTTTTGTTATCCCAAAAAGGTGACACTTTGGGTGTATCGTCCATCCCAGGGATGCAAAATTCACATCACCTTGTATCTATAAGCAGCTCTCATATCATTAACGAACACAACCTTGACTCTATTGACTGTAG